AGATGGGGTATGTGCAGTCCTTCAGATTTTGCTGAACTACATCTCCTACTATTCCCTAACATTGGCTGTGTTGGTTGGGACTGGTGGGAGTTGCAGTCCAACCATATGTTCCCCATCTGTGGTGGTTTCAGGTCCCCCTTCTCTGCTCTAAGGTAGCCTTGACTACTGTGAACAAGGGGAAGCTGCATCAAAGTTAAAAAACAAAGGAGGCCAGTTAGATATAGAGCCAGTGTGGTGTAGTAGCTTGAGCATTGGACTATGTTTCTGGAGAATGGAATCCCTGCTCAACCATGGAAACCCACTGGGTGACCTTTGACAAGTAACACTCTCTCAGCCTCAGGGGAAGGTAATGGGAAACCCCCTCTAAACAAATCCTGCCAAGAAAAACCTAAGGTGATAGGGCCATCTTAGGGTCACCGTAAGTCAGAAACGACTTGAAGGCACACAACAACAACAGTTAGATGTGAGACTAAGATAAGCTCCCCTGGTTTCTCCTGATTCACTTCTTTAACTGCTCCACAGATTGTCACTTTTGGAGGAGTGGCGGGGTTTGCGAGATGAGGAGCTCTCCGAGGTCAGTGGGATCCCCGGCTGCGTCTTTGTGCACTCCAGTGGCTTCATTGGAGGGAACCACACGAAGGAGGGCGCACTGGAAATGGCACGGAAGACCCTGGCTCAGAAGACTGACACTAACTGAGGAGCTGGGCATGACCCTGTCGGACTTGTGGCAGTCGTTTGTTTTGCCAGATTGCTATACATTTTGAATTGTTTTTCTTAAAAAAAAAACCAAAAAAACAAAGCAATGTTTGCGTGTGATTTGTGTGACAGAGCAACAAGTGTAACTGCACTCAAAGAGTTAGTGGCAAATCCGCAAAGCCATGCCACAACCATTACAAAGTGAAATAGTTCCTAAGTGTGGGAAAATTAATTGCAACTATATCTCCCAGAATCCTCAGCCAGCATAAAAACACAGGCCATCCTGGTGGGGAGGCTCTGAGAGCCGTAGTCCAAAGGGTTTTCTGAGCTCTGAGGAAGTCTTTGGGAACAAGCTTGGCAGGAGCAACAAAAAGTGCTTTGCCTGCAATTCCCAGACTTTCTTTTAAAGGGCTTAAGAACAGGGTGTGTGGGAGGGCATGTGGCTCAGATTCAAAGTGCTGGATTTCAAATTAAACATAGATGAAGTGAAGGTGCGCAAAGATAGCACCATTCCTTTTGTTTTGCTTAGTTCAGGGGTAGGCAACCTTTTTGAGCCGGGGGCCGGGTTGCTGTCCCTCAGATAATTGGGGGGCTGAAGCACCCAAAATAAATAAATAAATAAATAAATAAATATTAAAAAAAATATGCATGCATACTCTCTCAGCCCCAGAAAAGCCATGGCAAAACCCCTGTGGAGATTTTGCCAAGAAAGCCCAAGAACAAGTAATAACAACAATTATCAATATCATCATGGTGGGCGGTGGCGGCGGCAAGACCAGCCTGGGGCTGGTCCAAAGGCCTCGGGGGGCCGCATCCGGCCCCCGGGCCTTAGGTTGCCTACCCCTGGTTTAGTTCAATTGTTTTTCTTATTCTCTGCTTTCTGTTTTTGCTAGTCAGGAGGAGGAGGGTCTATGCAGGGAACAGACGTACTCCCAAGATTCTTCCTGTCTGGCTTCAGATTTCAGCAAACACAGCCTTCATTATTTTAAACCTACTGTATGTTTACAGCCTTACAATGTAGAAATGTGCTTTTTTAAAAAAATCGAAAGCTGGCTTTTACTCCTAATGCCACTAATTCCTGGACCATTTGGAGAGTCCTTTCCTCCATCTCTTGGTGAGATTTTAGACACATCAGTAGTTTTTCCATCTTTAGCACTGGGACTAAATCCATCCTAAAATTCACCAGTGTTACTGACTGCCATCACATACTGGATTTAAGAAGTGTGGAAGGGCTGACATGATGGCACTTTCCATGCTTTAAACCAGGGACAGGCAGCAGATGTCAGACATATGGGATCTGTTTTGTTTTCTTAGAGACCTGCTTACCTGGAGCCTAGTGCAAAAGACATAAATGGAAGAATTATTAATTCATTTTGAGTACCAGAACTGAGCAGCTTAGAGTCCTTGCACATGAATATTCACACCAATCTTTCTTCATTTCAGTAGTATCATTTGTGGATGAAGAAGGTTTTGTTGTTCATATTTCAACAATTAGGAGTCTGAAATCTTTGTGCATCACCAAGATTTAAAAACAACCAACGTGTTTAAAAGTGCCTGTGTATACCGCCTTAGTGACTTGGCTAAAAAGACAAAACTACTTGAGGTAATTATAAGAGAAGAAGTGTGGTGTAGTGGTTTCTGGGTTGGACCCTGGACTGGGACCCTGGATTGGGGTTCAAATTCCCAATCAGCCATGCAAACTCACTGGGTGACAGAGTAAGTCACACTCTCTCAGCCTCAGAGAAAGGCAATTTCAAAGCTCCTCTGAATAAAGCATTGCCAATAAAACCCTGTGATAAACTCCCCTTAGGGTCTCCATGATTATTATTATTGTATTTATATCCCATCTTCCTTGGTACAGGGTCCCAGTACAGGGGCTCAAGGCAGCTTCTGACTCCATAAGTCCCTTCAGATCAAAACATAAAAGTTTATTGAACCAATACGTTATTTACCAAGTAGAAAAAAGGAGCATTGCAGGAAGATGAATAAAAAAACAAAATCATTACTTTGTTTAGTTGCCCTGCCAGGTTTAATATGAAGGTAGGTTGTCTCTTATGTGGCAATAGGAGGGCTACAGTCAAAGGCAGTAATTTGGAGTCAAGTAAAGGCACCAGATCCCATCTGATCTTGGACACTAAGCAGGGTTACACTTGGTTAGTACTTAGATGGGAGACTACCAAAGAATAGCAGGTGCTGTAGGCTATATTTCAGAGGAAGGAACTGTTAAAATCACCTCTGAGTATGCCTTGCCTAAGAAAAACCCTATGAAATTAATGGGGTCACCATACATCAACAGGCGACTTGAAGGCATGTACATACCCACCCACCAAATACTATCTATGTCTATCTCTCTGCCCTTTTGGTCAAAGATGCATAACAGTCTAAATGTGTATTAAACAGTTTGACAAAGCAGTTTAAAACTATGTAGCTGTCAAATTTGGGCAACATCATTAGACCCAAAAGGCTGATAAAATGCTATGCTCTAACTTGGGGCCAGAATGAAGCTATTGGCATGAACCTGGTCTCCAAAAGAAGGCATCCTGAAAGAAGTGTGCAACAGCAGAAAAGGCCCTCTCCTGTCTCTTTACACTGTGTGTTGCTCCCATTGGGGCACTAGTCCTCAGGAAGGACACTCTTGCACATGTCAAGGTGCCAGCCATTTAGGGCTCATCACCAGCGTCTGACTTCAGCCTGGGAGCATACTGGCAACCACTGCAATTCTTTTGTAAATAGTGTGCTTTTTACAGCACAAAACGTACAGCTCTCTTCAAATCACCATTTGAGAGGAACCCCATGTAGCACATATTCATAGAATCAGAGAGTTGGCATCCAGTCCAACCCCCTGCCATGCAGGAAGTCACAATCAAAGCACCCCCAACAGACGGCCATCTGTTTAAACCAGTCTCTGTTTAAAAACTTCCAAAGAAGGAGACTCCACCACACTCCCAGGCAGCATATTCCACTGTCCAACAGCTCTTACTGCCAGGAAGTTTCTCCTAATGTTGAGGTGGAATCTCTTTTCCTATACCTTGCATCCATTATTCTGGATCCTGTTCTCTGGAGCAGCAGAAAACAAGCTTGCTCCCTCCTCAGTATGACACCCCTTCAAATATTTAAAGAGGGCTATTTCACCTCAACCACCTCTTCTCCAGGCTAAACACACCCAGCTCCTGAAGTCTCTCCTCATAGGGCATAGTTTCCAGACCCTTACACAAGCCCAATCAGGTAATTATGAACACATGCATTGCAGAGCCAGGTTAGGATTTCTAGGAAACAAGTGAGATAGAAAGGTATAGACTGAGATCCTACATCATGGAGGTGAAGGCTCACACTTTGCTTGCAGAGGTCTCTTGGGTGGCAGTGGCTGCTGCTTCCACCTCATGGAGAAAGCAACTTCCCAGGGGCAGATCACAGTCGCTCAGCCATTTAGATGCCAAGGAAAGGCATGGTGGACATCATCATCATCATCATCATCATCATCATCATCCGTCTATTTATACAATGCTATCAATTTATATGGTGCTTTACCAGTACAACAAACAAAAACTGGATCCTGCCAAAGGCAAGTGTGCATACACATATCTACAAAGGGAAGGAAGGAATAAGAAAACTGTACAATGCCGCTGACCTTTCTGCATTTCCAACAGGGTCTTAGGAGAGCAATAACTGTTTTTCCTCCTGGTAGATGCTGCTTGGATGTCCCATGTCCTACAGTAAATAGCTTCCCTGTACCCTCCCTCACTTGCAGCCCATTGAGGCAGGCCTGTCCGTGTGTTGGGTATCTCTTTGCACAAAACTTTAAAAGGTGTATCCATCACCCTATGTTGCACTTAAGCACATCACCAAGAAGGCTCCAGCTAATCTCTGCTTGAGGCAAATGCTGTGTTTTTGAGCTAAAGTGTTTTCTAAAACAGAGGAAGCAGCAGCCTCTGCCAGTACCTTTTGGCTGCAATCCAACATCCCCCTAGCAGAGCGTAAGTACCTGCTTGGAGAGAAAAGCTACGGCAGCCCTGCACAACTCCTAGGAACAATAGCAACATTGCACAACACATCAGTGACTGGGTGCTGTTGGGTAACATGCAACTGCAACACACAACACAGTAGTATGCATAATTCCAATTCGGCCTCTGTCAGTGGAATATGTCCACTGTTGTTGTGTTGTTGTTGTTGTGTGCCTTATGGAGACCCTAAGGCAAAACTATCACGGAGTCTTCTTGGCAGGTTTCTTCAGACGGGGGTTGCCATTATTGTCCTCTGAGGCTGAGAGTGTGTGACTTGCTCAAGGTCACCTAATGGATTTACATGGCCAAGCCAGGATTTGAACTCTGGTCTCCAGGGTCACAGTCCAGCACTCAAACCGCTATGCCATGCTGGCTCTCTACGTCTGTTATACTATGCCAAACAACTAATCCCTTCTGTGTCATAAAAGGGCATCATATTGTTAATTTTATTTATTCTTAATCAATATTTGAATGCCCAAGTGGGGTGCTGTCCTTGTTGGATTTTGTGCCAGAACAACTTGGACAGTTTTAAGTACTGTGTGCTTGCCCTCGGGAGGAGAAGAGGCATTTACTCCTCTGCCTCAGGCAGCAAAATTATTTGGGCTTACCCTGGAGAGGGGATTCTGTTGGACTGCAGTTCCCAGCATTCTGGGATATGCTGACTATAGTGGCTGGGACTTGTAGTCCAGGAGTATCTGAGGGGGCCACACAATCTCTGACCTTACCACAGAGCTTTTTTGGAGGAAATGAATGTGTGTTAAAAAAAAAATGTAACTCTACAACTCTACAAATAAATTATATTCTGACAATAATATATGTTTTTTAAATCTCTATCTGTTTTAAATAAATTTAGTTTCATCATACACTGCCGGAATTGTAAGCCCCTCGCATTTCAGGAGGAGGAAAGCAGAAGATGCGTGACAGATTTAAAAAATAAATATTGTTCCGATTGTTTAGTGTAGATTAGAATAATCCTGAGTATCCTTTTCTAGAATAATGGCATTCCATGGTTGGGGTTCATTTGCTCTGATTGCTCAGTTTTGGGTTTCTTTCCAGGGCAGGGTACTTCAAATCATTCCAGCTACCACTATAGCACTATAAACAACAATAAATATGGAAGGAGAATTATAAAACTGAGAAGTAATAAAACTACTTGACCAGTGAGAAACAATACAGTGGATGGAATCTAGGCTGCCACCATATTGCAGAAAAGGACGTCACACTGATTTTCATGTACATTATCAGCATTAAGGCTCTTGTCTTGGCAAGGCTGGCTAGGCTGGGTAGCCTGATTCAGAAGAGAGACCATCTTTGCATCTCTCAGTCAACTCTCAGCTCTGAGCAATAGCTCTGGATTGCGGCCTCCTAAGGGCAGTTTCAGCATTTATTTTTGCTCAACGTCCCTTTCAAAACTCACAACCCATAGTACACACAAATAAATACACACTGGTGTCCTTTCTCTCTTTCTCTGGCTGCATCTACAGTGCACAGTGAATGCAGTCTGGCAACCGCTTTAACTGCTATGGCTCAATGCGATAGGATTCTGGGATTTGAGTCCTGTGAGCTATTTAGCCATCGCTGTCAGAGAGCTCTGGTGCTACAGCAAACTACAGAGCCCAGGAATCCATAGGACGGAGCCCCAGCAGTGAAAGCGATGTGAAACTGCATTCATTCTGCAGTGTGGCATCAGCCTCTGTCATTCATTCATTCATTCATTCATTCATTCATGTCTTCCTTCCCCTTGCCTCTGCCACTCTTCAGGCTGCCGAGTGGGGCAGTCTCTACCAGCCTCTTAATACTCTGCCAGCCAGCCTTGTGTATGCCTCCTGCTCTTTTCCTGATGAGTAGCAAAGCGAGAGGCTGGATGGGAAGATGCAAAGTGGGTCTGGCACCTTCCAAGGGAAGCTGGACAGAAGCATCACCTGCTCCTGAGATGCTCCCGTGAGCTGCCTGGCCTCCTTCAGCCCAGACAACTGACCCAGGAGAGCACTGTTCCCACAGGTGGGTTTGGAGCCAAAGGGACTCTTGGGTCGGACTTGAGCATTGACTGCTAAAGGGGGATAGCTTTCCTTTCTTTGTCTGAGGAATCCTGCTGCCTCAAGTGCTGTCTGATGCAAACTGGGCAGGCAACACTTTCCTCAGCCTGTTCTGAGGAAGAGATCAGATAGCACAGCAATTGGGTGGAGGGCTGAGATGTGTGGTCTTCTAGGTGTTGCTTGACTTCAGTTCTCCTCACTCCTAGCAGGCATGGCCTAGGGAGGGGGCTGATGGGAAGCGTCATCCAGCAACACCTGGAGGAGCTCATCTAGCAGACAGTCCTATTTGGAGTTCGCAAGCTTGTGGTTCCCAAAAGATCAGGGGAAAGTGAAGGGAAAGGGATGGGGCTGGGATGGGATGAGGCAGATAGTGACTTAGGTGGGTTCTTGTGCCTTTCACACTAGAGTGATGGGCATCCTTCTTCCCATTTTCACACCATGGGGTGTGTGTGTGTGTGTGTGTAAGAAATCTGACCCACTTCTGATTGTTGCACCTCTCACAGCCAGAAGAACAGAGGCCAGCTGAAAACTCAGTCACCTTCATTGGGATTTCAAGCAAGTTGTCTGGATGAGTACTTTCAAGGGCTGGTCAAACTAATATTATGCTCTGAATTTTTGGCAGTATTCCTGGGCAACCCCTTTCTGGAACATAATTACAAACTAGTTACAAAATACCAGGGTTTGTTGTTTTTTTTTTTTTTTTTTGCTGAGAATACGTCCAGCTCGACTTTAGATTTGCAGCATCTACTGTCTGTTTCTGACTTGAGTCCCAAAAGCCAGCAGCTGGAGCCAATGCCTTACAATTAAAGGGCTCTGAGCCAGATAATTTGTTTTAATACCAGAACCAAGCAGAGTGACTTACCGTTCTTTGACACAGCAACCCACTTGTAGTCACCCTCCTGCATCCTCACTGAAGAAATAACCAGTTTGACTCCACTTTAATGCTATGGAATTCTGGGAATTGTAGTTTGTTGTTTTCTGGTGCCACAACAAACTACATATAGTTCCCAGAATTCCATAGCAATGAACCACAGCAGTTAAAGTGGTGTCAAACTGGATTATTTCTGCAGTGTGGATGAAGCCCCTGCCTTTTATTTTTGGTTATGTTCAGTGTTGCTGCTACTGTTAAATAACTGGGAGTCAGATCACCGTCCTAGACATCTAACACTGACTCTCAGTCTAACCACAATTTAAAACAGTCAGATGGAAATGAGAAAAGGGCTACCTGTACCTGTAACAGGTTGTGTAGAAGAGCTATTTCCCAGTCCTGTTATCCACCTGTTATCCTTTCCCTTTCCCTTTGGTTGCTGTTCATTGTGTCAAGCTGGTTTTGACTTATGGTGATCCTTATGAATGAAGGGCCTCCAAGACCCCCTGTTAGCAACAGCCCTTCTATCCTCCGTAAAGTAGCCTTCCTCTTTTCCTACAGCATTCCCACTTTACCAAGCATTATTGTTTTTTCTAGTGAGTCATATATCCTAGATGACAATATATTCTATACCACCTGTTAATTTTGCAATTGCACCCATGCAGAGATGCAGCAGAATTGCCTGCTTTCTGCAGAGTCTCACTTAAATAGTGGGTACATCTACACTGTAGAAATAAGGCAGTTTGATGCTACTTTAACTGCCACGGTTCCATCCTACAATATCCTGGGATTTGTAGTTTTGTGAGGCATCCCCACTCTGGCAGAGGAGACTAAAGGCCTTGTAAAACTACAAATCCCAGGATTCCATAGGACGGAGCTACAGCACTTAAAAGTGGTGTCAAATGGCATTATTTCTACAGTGTCGACCCACCCAGTGACTCATTCCCTGGGAGTAGATGCCTCCAAGCATGGCTATTTCTTATGTGCACACACACAGAGTAAAGTTTGGGGGTGTGAGACTGATGTGTACCTTCAGTTTTAAATCTGAAACTAAAATAATGTCTCAGCTGGTGAAGTTTTGGGGAACACTGCTGTGCTAAGTGACCAGGGTGATGGATGGGTGTGGGGGGGATAGCCTAGACATTCTATGGGGTCTTTAATAGCAACTTGATCTATAAAAAGTAGCAGGTGACATCTTAATGGCAATGAAGTCATAGCAGCAGGAACACTGAAGGTTAGCAGACGGGATGGAAGCAATAAGCTGGATACTAGTACTTGTACTCCTCCCAAAGGTTTGTAACTACATTTTTCAGTACCCTAGAAAATGTGTTAGAGTACACTTGTGGGTTTTTTTTGCAGGGGCAGGGGAGGACACAAACAACATTTTAAATACAATGAACAGGTAATCTTAGGCCTTGAATGCATAAACATCTTGTTTCTTAATGAAACTATATGCATGTAGACAGGGACCTCAATTGCAATATAATTCTTGTACATTGCAGACCTCTGAGGCGCATCACCTTCATCATTATTGCTGTTTGCTTTGTAAGCCTTATGTATGATATCTCGTATAAGAATTTCTTCCCAGCCCCAACCCCCCACATTTAATGGGCAATGGTTTGAGATGATGGCCCCGGCTTTATGGTGAGTATTTAAAACAACAATACAAATGTTTCCGAAGCCACACACACACACACCCATCCTTTCCAGACACTGCTAAATCTGAAGGGTATGAACAAACCACACAAACCTCACAATGTAGAAAAGGGTAAGATAGCAGGAGATGACATGCTTTAAAAATATGGGATGGTAGATATAAATAAGATAAAGATAAAAATGGAAAGATACTTATTTTGCAATTCTCTTCCCCTTACCCAGAAGAAACGTCAATTGAATTAAATGCCAATTCTGAATAGAAATGTCTAGGATGGCACTGTCAATTAAAATAAGTAAACCTGGGCAGGGTGGGGGTGGAATCATATGGCCTTTCAGATTTTGAGACACTGCAGTTCCCATGCTGGCCATGTTGGGAGTTGCAGTTCTGCGATTTTCAGGAAGGCCATATGATTTCTACACCACTGTAAACACATGTTTACATGCACTGTTTTTGCAGTCTCTGATCATGACATAAAGCAGGATATCCAAATTTATAGAGGAAAAATGTTTATAAAAACTAAATCTTCATTTTCAGATGTAGGCAAGATAAGGGAAAGATTTAGGGCAGAAAGTGGCATAAGACAGCTGCAAAAGCGACTGTTATTGTAATGACTAGATTATCATTTTGTAAAGTACCATTTATCATTTTTACAAGCCATAAACAGTGTATTCATCCAGATGAGATGAAGTATTAGCATTGCCCTATATAACATACCAGTGACGTATGTTAGACACAGCCATACAATTTTTGTAAACTAAGATCCGGTGTGGAAATCCAGTGGACCTTGGTATCTGCTGGGGTTTGGTTCTAGCC